TGTTAGCTCCTTCTGTAGAGTCTCCTCGAAGTCTTCCTATGGCTGTGTATGTTAAGTTGCCTCCATCTGTTCGTCAAGTCTCTTTCCTATTACGATTTTCATCTCTGAATTTTTACTTTCTGCTTTGAGATTTCTCCTAGCTGATCTTTTGTAGTGCATTAGAATCTACCCTGGTATCTACTGAATCCTTTGACAATTGAAAGTATTAAAATTTTCTGTCATTAAAGATGTTTTTCTAGAAACTATATTTTATGTATTATGTTCTCCTTCAGTGGGTCATACTGGTTTTTCTCTTTCATGTTTATTGATTTTAATTTTATTAAAAGGCAGAGAGATGGAGAGATAAAAAAATCTTCCATCTGCTGGTTCACTCCTTTTTTGCCTGCAACAGCTAAGGCTGGGCCAGGCTGAAGCCAATCTAAGAACTCAATCTAAAATTTTCACTTGAGAGGCAAGGACCCAAGTACTTGTGCCATGGCCTGGTGGGTGTGCATCAGCAGGAAGATGGAATCAGAAGTGGAGCTGGGACTACAACCCAGGCATTCGGTATCCTAAGCAGCATCTTAACCACTGTGTCAAATGCCTGTCCCAGTTATACTGTTTTTGACCTCAATATTTTGTTTTTCTTCTCTTCCAGAAGATCTGTTAGACCTGTTCCTCCCATTCCTTCCCATCGTTAGGTGTTTTATTGTTATGTGAATCAGGATTCAGGTTGAGCTCTTAGGGGACTTCCACTTGTGGTAATTTTTTAAGTGATGAAAAATACAGTCATCTTACTGTGCACTAGAGTGCACTGTTATCTTTCCTTCTGAGTCTGGAGGACTCTGTCCCTTTCTTCTGGTCTCCTTACATTGCCCATCTCCAGGAGCAGAGTGGGTTCTCCCTCCTGCTGAGTGCCACTGGGGTCAGCAAGGCGGGCTGTACTTGTACAGTAATCTATACATAAAGCCCTCTGTGTCTAGTTGGAGCCCAGAGTAGAGAAAGTCCTGTCTAGCCATTTCTCTCAAGACTGCCGTGAGCTAGAGGCTACATTTGTCAAACCCCACTGTGTACTGGCTCCAAAGCTGACTGGTTCTAGAGAGATAAATGGGGTTGGATTTGGGATTGAATGGGAGAAGGTAAATCAAATTCAAGACTCCCTCCCACTCCCCAGAATCTTGAGTTTGGTATTTTATTCATAACCTTACATATATCTCATCCTTTTGCGTCATTTGTCATGTGTTTAATGATATTATCAAAGAGATTTTATTTTGGATGCCTATCTTTGACCAACATGGTTTGTTCAACTCTCTGACATATAACCTCTTAGACTATCATGCAAAATATCCTTGTAAAATACAGTTTGAACTAGTAACCTATTTTGGGAGAGTTTATTGGTTTTGACAAAATTCTTCTGGGGGAATTTATTTGTCATATGCAAATTTCATTGAATAAAATATGACTGATCTGAAATCTTGCTCAAAAATTAAAATAGACACAGGAAGAGAGCTAGATGGAAGAAACAGGAGCCAAAGATTCAGCTTTGAGTTGTTATCAATGGTACTGGGGAGAAAATGTGGAGATAAGACAGAAGTGGAAAGCCACATGTAATTAGAAAACTTTATTCAGGTCCATAGTTACTGCCACTTCTTTTCATAAGTGGTCTATTAAAGTTGCTGACAAGTAGTATTAGAAGAGATTATACATTAAAGAGAGCCATTCTTTTCTAGAAAATGCAAACAAGGAAGAACTCCATAGACTCTAAATAGATGAAAGAAAATACTGTACCTATGTTTGCAGGTTGTAAAGTTATTACACATGTATGTATATTTATATTTCAGTGGTCATTTGCCTTAAATATTTGAAATTTGAATTATGTATACACATTCACTCTGTCTGGGTTGCTTGATATGCAGTTTGCCCTAATCTGCCTCAGGCAAAGAGAATTTGAATTATACAACGTGTAAACTTCACATTGCATGGTAATTAGTCTTCACTGCTCAGTGGCACTTAATATTGAGGTTAATGGCTCAGTAGAAATGTTAAAGATCCACTGAATAGATCCCCTGTATATATGCGCAATGGATAGGCTGAAAATCAGTGAAAGCTTTTATTCTGTGTCAGTGACAATTTAATGCTTGACTGTGTATTTAAGTCACTGTTTTGCATTTATTATATATATGAATATAGGGTCTAGTGGCACACATTTGAACTTCACCATTTATCACAGGTCCAAGCTGAAGAAAATGCTTCCCTATAAAATATAAATTTTCTCTTTTTGTTTTGTGCTCTAAATTTCATTCCGGCACACCGGGTTCTAGTCCCGGTTGGGGCGCCGGATTCTGTCCCGGTTGCCCCTCTTCCCGTCCTCCAGCTCTCTGCTGTGGCCAGGGAGTGCAGTGGAGGATGGCCCAGGTGCTTGGGCCCTGCACCCCATGGGAGACCAGGAAAAGCACCTGGCTCCTGGCTCCTGCCATCGGATCAGTGCAGTGAGCTGGCCGCAGTGCGCCAGCCGCGGCGGCCATTGGAGGGTGAACCAACGGCAAAGGAAGACCTTTCTCTCTGTCTCTCTCTCTCACTGTCCACTCTGCCTGTCCAAAAAAAAAAAAAAATTCATTTCTCCAGAACCTTGTTATGAAATGTGCCCTCTCTCAGTTCTTTTAGCTTAAAGAAAGCTTTTTAGATGGTAATTACAAAAGGGGAAGGAACAGGATGGTCAGTTCACTTGCTTGTGCCAGGATCTGTTGAGTGAAAAGGTAATAGTCCACATTGAATATCTAGGTCAACACAATTATATAAGATTATATTTCAGAATTTTGTACCTAATGATTTATCTGTATAATTATGACAAGAACTTAAAACTTTTTATGATACAGTGTTATAAGTACCACCGTGTACCTTATGTTAAAAATTCAAGTTTGTTCTATAACAAGTTTTGAAAATGAATCATAGAAGGACCCCTATAGACTTCTTCCTTGTCCCCTTACCCTGGCACTGAAATATCACTGTTTTTAATATTACAATCAGAAACATGTAGGTAGGTTAAAAGTTACATACTTTAAATATTTCATTTATAAAAATATATATAAAATTCCATGTAGGCTGAATATTAAACAGCAATTCCTAGGTATGCTAGAGCCATAATTAGAATACTGTTTGCAAATTATCAAATTTTAGTGAGTCAACAAACCAATTTTAAAAAGCTCAAGAATATTGGATTTCAAAATGCTCTCCCTGAATTTACTTTGTCCATTATACTTTATTTTAATTATTCATAGTATTGTTTAACATGCCAGGAGATGTCTTATAATAGAATTTGTAAAATAATGAAATTTCAATAGTATGAATCCCATTTTTAGCATTCTGCTTGTAAATCTCAAATTAAGATATTTTGTAAGGAATCATCTAGTATGATGTATTAAAGCATATCTTTGTTTAGTAATTTTACACATTTTAGAATTTTAAAACCAAATGCTCCCTTGAGAGAAATAATTGGGATAATTTGATATATGTCATTTTGTTGTTGAGTAAATAAGAAAAATTGGTAAGAGCCAAAAGTGCATATTCCCAATAATATAGAGCAGTACTCTTCTCTTTGAGGTACAAGGATCCTTTCTGATGCTTATCCAGAGAGAGAGAGAGAGAGAGAGAGAGAGAGAGAATGTGTGTGTGTGTATTTATAGATCTAGTAAGTAGATTGTTCATTTTAGTGAAAAAGATAGCCCTTTAGCCCCTGCCTATTGTCTTTCTTGCATCACACTAAATATTTAAGCAAGACAGCATTGGTTTATGTATCATTGGCCTCAAGTGGATAACTTAGAGGTGAAAGATAATAAACAACCATGAAGATGTAAATTCTAGTTGAAAATTTGGGATTTATTTGTCTTTGGTTCCATTAGGAAGTAGAAGTAAGAAAGAAAGAGCTCTTCTTTTAGTATCAGTGTGGATTTTTACATGTCCAAAATCTATTTCTGATTTTTATTCTTATTATTAATGGTAGAGGCTCACAAATATGGTAAGTATAGACTTAGATTTCAGTCCTACATAGAAAGATTACATGTTTAAATATGTGAAAAAATACTTGAAATAGGCAATAATTTCTCCCTTTCTTATGATTACACAATAGTATTTGTGACACTTTTTAGCTTATTTGACGGTCAGGTAAAACCTTTGTTCTATTAGATTCCTTTTTGCACCTCTAGCAGGTAAAAGACACATTCTTTAAGGATAAAATTTTAGCCAGCATAAAATGTAATTTCTTTTTATCTCAAATTGAGAATCTTTTCTTTCTTCTTTGGGGGATCTTGTGATTCTTAATGTTACAAAATCACTTAAAATTTAGTATAACCAGGGCTCACAATGGGACTATGTGATATTCTTCTGCCTTTTCTCATTCTTGTGGTATAGGCTGCTGCTCCCCAATTTATAATTTGTGCTTTATTACCATACTTTTTAAATTTTATCCTGGTCTGTGACTCTTAAGTCCCTTTTCGTTCTTCTGTGTCTAGTAATTACCTGTGTATCTGGCAGAACCTAATTCAGGTATTGTTTCTTGTCCAAAATAAAATCAAATAGTACCCTTTTCCTGGTTGTTATGGCATATGTATAAGTATATATGCCATATAATACATATTATACAGTTGACAAACATTAACTGTGGATATGTCATAGTTATTAAGTGTAAGGGCCATGTAGGTTCCATCTTTGTATTTGCTAGGACAAGTATTGAGTTAAAATTTGTTGATTTGGGATGTTTAAGACTGCATACTTTGCATGATCATGAAAATAGCTTATCTCATTAAACTCTGATCATAGTAACCCTTCCTCCCTATACTTCTCACATACCGTATTCCCACCTATCTTACTGTGGTTTCTGGTAGAATGTTTTTTCTATTTTAAAGATAGCTTGAGAGCAGTCAAAGAAGGATCATTTCATGTAGATTGGACTCAAGGAAATTGGCTTTTGACTCTTCATTGCTATTTAGTTTTGAGAGTTTCCTTTACTTCTCCCCTTTTTCCAGGACCCTAATAGGAGTATTCATACCAGCAGCAGCAGCAGCAGCAGCAGTAGCAGCAGCAGCAGTAGTAGCAGCAGCAGCAGTAGCAGCAGCAGCAGCAGCAGCAGTAGCAGCAGCAGCAGCAGCAGCAGTAGCAGCAGCAGTAGCAGCAGCAGCAGCAGCAGTACCAGTTTTTCAAAGCCTCACAAATTAATGAAGGAGCACAAGGAAAAACCTTCTAAAGACTCCAGAGAACATAAAAGTGCCTTCAAAGAACCTTCCAGGGATCACAACAAATCTTCCAAAGAATCCTCTAAGAAACCCAAAGAAAATAAACCACTGAAAGAAGAGAAAATAGTTCCTAAGATGGCCTTCAAGGAACCTAAACCCATGTCAAAAGAACCAAAACCAGACAGTAACTTACTCACCATCACCAGTGGACAGCAAGACAAGAAGGCTCCTAGTAAAAGGCCTCCCATTTCAGATGCAGAAGAACTCTCAGCCAAAAAAAGGAAAAAGAGTAGCTCAGAGGCTTTATTTAAAAGTTTTTCTAGCGCACCACCACTGATACTCACTTGTTCTGCTGACAAAAAACAGATAAAAGATAAATCTCATGTCAAGATGGGAAAGGTCAAAATTGAAAGTGAGACATCAGAAAAGAAGAAATCAACTTTACCACCATTTGATGACATTGTGGATCCCAATGATTCAGACGTGGAGGAGAATATGTCCTCTAAATCTGATGTGAGTAGTCCTATGGCTTTCCTCACCTTCATTACTAGTTTTCCAGTTTCAAATCAGGTAGCTTCACAGTAAAGAACAAAGGATGAAAATGAATGCTGAGCCATAGCATGATAGGGTGGCAGTGGGAGTGGTCTAGAAACAAATTTCCTTAACTAATGAAGAGCAGGATATGAACACATTAAGAAATCTGCAGATTATTTTTTTTGGTTTCAATTTAAGGAAAGATACATATCTTTATATAGAATAATATATGACTATTGCATAATAATAGCTCATTTGAACAGCAGCAGAAAAATTGGTGCTCATTGAAGCTTTGTTACTATGCTTTTCTATGATGATATAGGAAAATGAGAGTACAATAGTACTTGAATATGCAAGACAATAAGTTTAAAAGAGAAACTTAGAAAATATACAGGATAGCTATGATGTTGACCTTTTGATCATTGGAATGAAATCAATTTGTACATATCTGGAAATTGGTGATAATATTTAACAGCTTTATTGAGTCAAAATTGGTATAACAATATACATTAAATGTACAATTTGATACATTTTGTATTTATATGCACCTGTATTTTGAAAATGAAATATTTAATTTTTTTCCTTCATTGTGCAGCCACTGATTTGGAAAGGGTGAGATGTTTGACCCTCAACTACGAGTTTTTGCTAATGGGTAGGGCTTTTCTTGTCAATGTCCAAAGGAGCATCTGACCCATCTAATACCCCAAAGAATGCTATTTGATGTTGAGATTTTAACTTATGATTACTGATTAACTGGAAGGGATTTCTGGTTATCTATTTTAACCTACTACCAATGTAAGGACTCTTGTACTTCTAGTGACAGGACTGTTAGAAGATATTCAATTCAATTTAAAGAAATAATCATTATTTACTATGAAGTCATCATGTGCTCTTTTTTTCTGATTTTGGCCTTCTTCAGTTATTTATCAGTGATGATCAGTCACAGCTGGCTTGTCAGTATTTTTAGAAAGTGTTTAAAGAAGATGTCTTGATAAAAATTTCTGGCAATTTGCCCCTCTCTGAAATACTGGCAAAGGGGAGGAGGTCTTAGTAGCAGACTGTCTGTCCTGGGTATATACTGTTCTGGGTGAAAATCAAACATGGTCAAGACATGGGACATGGTGACCATACTAGTCCCCAGTGGTCCAAAGACTACTTCCTTCTCCTCTACTCTCTATAAGTAATCTAAAAATTTTAATAGAAGCTCAGGTTATGTGCACAGTAGCATATAAAGAATTGGAGATTAGATAATTTGTTCTAGTATTTGGAATAGGCTAGACGTCATAGTCTGTGAAATGGAGATGAGAATTGAATGGGTTTATTCTAATGTCTCATGTAATCTATTTTTCCTTCTTTGCTTACCTCTGCACTTAATTTGAAAGTTATTTTTAATGCAGCTATCATTTGGAACTTTTTTGGGAAATTTGACTTTTGTTTCTGATCACCCTGAAATACTCTTAGTATGTGAATAGTTTATCAAAATTGTCAAGTTTAGCAACTTTGTCTTTCTGTATTTTGACATGTTGTGATTCTTCTGGAACAGAAATTTTAAAGTGTGAGTTGTGATTCACTGGTGTGCTATGAAATCAATGTAGCATGTCATCAGCAACATTAAAAAATCAGAATACATTGTAATAGCATGAGTAAGTAATGGTGTGTGAAAATTTTATTTAGGAGGTATATCTTTCATAAATTATAAAGATTGAAATTTTGAAGGATGCCTTTTTACAATGTTGGTTTGTGAGGGGACCAAAGACATTTGTGAAGCACCCAATGCTTTTTCTACTTGAGATTATCACAGATTGTCTTCCTCTTTAGGTAATTCTGTTTGTTCTCCTTTTGTTTGCCTCTTGCTCCCTCCCTTTTACATATGACTTAGAATATATTCTTCAACTTGCTATATTTATCCAAAGCAGTACCTTTAAAAATCTTCTGGCACAAAGAGTTAAAACCATATTTCTTTACAGTAGGTAATAAACTTTCAAATGGTATATGACACATTACAGCTGCAAATCCAGTAATTACAACAGGTATTTTTTTTTTAATGTGTTCCTTATTAGTGCATAGCATTGCAGAAAAATCCTCAAAAGGCTGTGGGGTTTTCTTTGGGCATAAAACCCAATAATTTTAATTTCCCTATTAGTCTTCTGATAATAGTAATTCTTTTATTGTAACTGCTGTTGATTATATTCTGTAGCAGAAGAGAATTGATAAAAGTGGTGCTTTAAGCCATATGCCCAAAAGACCTTTCTACGAGCAAAGGAGGAGAAGAGAGCCTGAAATTCTGTCTATTCAGTAGTAAAGGTAGCCTTTATTTGGACTGTCTCCTATCCAGCATCTCTCCTTTGGGCAGGACAGAAAAACCAGGAGGCAATTATAATGGAGAACACTGAGCACCCCAGAGCCTCCCTTGGCCAGGGACTGATTTGGTGGCTTGTGGCAGGCCAGCTTCGGGGGGCACTGTTCTCATTCTGCTGGGTGTGAATCCATGAGTAAGTGAGGTCAATTAGCCAGATCTTTCTGAGGTCCTTTCTAACTTACTTATTTGAATATGAGCCAGATTTATGTTCATTTGTGGGAGATGGTTGGTGAGTAATTTTAAACATAGTGGATAGAGATCATAGACTTGAAAACAGAAAGAAATCATGATTTTGAAAAATTAGGAACTGGCACTGTGGCATGGCCAGTTAAACTGTCACTTGCAATGCTGGAATCCTGTATGGCCACCAGTTTGAGTCTGGCTATTCCACTTTCCATCCAGCTCTCTGATGATGCATCTAGGGAAAGCAGCAGAAGATGGCCCCTGCACCCAAGTGGGAGACTGGATGATGTTCCTAGCTCCTGGCCCAGCTTCAGCCATTGCAGCCATTTGGGGAATGACCTGGCGGATGGAAGATCTCTCTGTCTCTCATACTCTGTCTCTCTATCTCTGACTTTCAAATAAATAAAATCTTTAAAAAATAGTTTGAAGACTTAGGAAGATTGGGGAAAATGATTATTTTCCTGTGGTGTCTATAAAGATATCTCATCTCAATACAACCCCTTATAAATAAAAGGAAAAATGGCTTAAAGATGTTTTTCCATAATCAAGTTAGATGCAGGTTTAATGTAAAATTAAAAATCAGTACTATTAACGTGGATTAGGAAGCTTAGATTTTTTTTTCTATTTATCTGGCTCTTGGGTTGATTTTTGTTGATTTTGTATAAGAGAAGGCTATGTTTCAAATCCAAACATCACCAGTGATCCTGGGCAAGTGATTTAACCTCTATTTCTTACTTTTCTCTTTTGTAAAGTAGAGATCATAATAGTATCTATTTTGTAGGATTGTTGTGAAAATTAAAAAAGTCAATCTGGGTAAAGCAGTTAACATACTAATCAAAAAATGTTAGCTAGCTATTGGGAAACTTTGTAACTTGTAGTTTTGAAAGTGATGTTTTGATATTAAAAAATATTACAGAATTTGTGTCCTTTTTCTCAAGAGTGTTGGTTTTTATGCCTTAAGGGGAGGGAGATATACTTGGAGTATGCCACTTTGCTCTGATTTTTGTCTTAGGGAGGCATCTGGCCTTGATATTCATTTACTCAGTTCGTGGTCTTTGGAAAAACGTAGGACAAATATTCTAAATTTTAAAGCAAAAGGTAAGCCAAATTTTCCCAGAATCTCTTAGCTTTCTAATTAACCGAGCTGAAGGACAAGAACACAGCTAGCATTGCACTGGGTAGGTATATGGTAGTTTTTAAAATTGCTGTTACAGGCTGGTGCCGCGGCTCACTAGGCTAATCCTCCGCCTTGTGGCGCCGGCACACTGGGTTCTAGTCCCGGTCGGGGCTCCAGATTCTGTCCCGGTTGCCCCTCTTCCAGGCCAGCTCTCTGCTGTGGCCAGGGAGTGCAGTGGAGGATGGCCCAAGTGCTTGGGCCCTGCACCTGCTTGGGAGACCAGGAGAAGTACCTAGCTCCTGCCATCGGATCAGCGCAGTGCGCTGGCTGCAGTGCACTGGCCGTGGCGGCCATTGGAGGGTGAACCAATGGCAAAGGAAGACCTTTCTCTCTGTCTCTCTCTCTCTCACTGTCCACTCTGCCTGTCAAAAAACAAACAAACAGAAAACATATATTTGTTTATTTGAAAATGTTCAGAGAGAGAGAGATCTATTTTCCAGTTGCCAGTTTACTCCCCAAATGCCCTCAAAAGCCAGAACGAGGCTGTACAAAGACAGGAGCCAGGAGCGCCAAATCTGCCAGGTAGGCCATTAACTGCTGCCTCCCAGGCATATTAGCAGGAAGCTGGATTGGAAGCAGAGCAGCTGAGACTTGAACCGAGCACTTTGACACAGGATGTGGGTATCTTATGTGGCAGCTTCACCTACTGCGCCACAGCACCTGCCCCTGCCCCCAAATGGTTTATCTTTGAGTTAGTAAAACCAAAAGAATAATTTTTAAAGCAGTTCTCATAAAAAAATCTAATATTGTCATGTGACAGTCCATCAATAATTTTTCCATACAAAAGAAATAGAAGTGGGGGAAAGAGAATAGGGTAAGAAGATAGACAGTTTTATGGAGAGTGAACATTTAGTCAGTACAAAAAAGGCAAGACACAAGGGAATGTTTTTGTTACAAATATTTTACATTTAAGAACCTAGATAATTGTGACTGGAGGAAAGCAGTTCTGGTTTTAGGAATTCATCACTGGGGGTGAAATAGTCCACTTTATTTACTGTTTAGTACATAAGTAACCATTACTACTGGTGACTGACTCTAATTGGCAGCTGGAAAGGATGAGTGAGTGTATCAGTATGTGCTAAAATTTTATAGTTGTGGTTTGTGTTAATCTATGTAAACTTTAAATGATGATAAAAAGAACCCAAATGTCTTTCACCCCTTCTATAATCCTGCAGCTTTTGTTTTTCATATAACTCAGCTTCTAAAGGGAAGCCTATGAAATTGATCTTTTTTGTAATACAAAGATGTTTGTATTTATAG